TCCTCCTCTGTATTTTCCTTTCAAGTGATTGATTCCTCGCATTTTTAATTCATTGAACTGCTTGATCTTTTCTGGTTGTCTCCAAATCTTCTCTCGAATTTCTTCAAGAAAGGGGGCTTTGATCCTTATGATTTCCCATTTTTCTTTAGCTGTTTCTGGTTCCTTGGGGTTTTCTTTATGATTCTCCCCTTCCTTGAGTTCGTCTTCATCGAGTCCAATCATCATTGCGTGGTATTTATTGAGGAACTCTCTGAGATGCCAGCTTCGACACATTTCGTACTGATCGGCTTCCACTCTAAGGTCATCCCACTCTGTCCATTTGCGGGGCCATTGATCATGAACTAGAAGATCTTCAAGCTCATCTTGTATTGGATTGTCAGAGGGTTCAGAGGGAGCTTGCTGCTGTGTCGAAGGTGACTCGTCGTGTGAAACACCGGGATCCTCAGGATTGCCCGTTGACATCAGTTTCGAACTAGGTTCTAACTGATGGCCTGAGTAAGAAGATGTACTCGTGGTAGCATCATCAGGACTTCCATTCCGTCCTTGGTTAACATCTATAGGGGATGCACCTCGGGATGTTATGTCTAGCTCGACCATGCTAGAGAGAGTGGCTAGGGATTTATGGCTAGCTGAAGTAGTGGGTTGCTCATTGGTAGAGGTAGAGGGTTGGTTTGGCTTTGAGGGTTGGCTAGTAGAAGCAACATGCTCAAGTATCCGCTGGCGCTTGTTCTCCCCCTCATGAGAATCCGAATCATCAGGATCCTCATGTGAACGTTTAGCGCCACGGAGACTGTCACGGCATGTGTTCTGTGTATCTAGAGCATGGAGAAGGGCTTTTTGAAGAGGGGTGAGGTTGCCTTCTTCCACGTCTAGTATACGGTCGTAGATCTCAGCTACAAGATCCTCGAAGGGTATGGTTGTTAGGTTGGGTTTGGTCGTTGTAGGGGAGAATACTAGTTCTGTATCTTGGGTTCCCCTTGATGTGGATGGTTGTTGGTTTTCTATGGCTAAGGATTTGGAAACAGGTATGGAAATGGTTGGGGGCTGTGTTGTCTGGGGTTTGGATGGTATATTCTGAACAACTGGGGTACTTCCAGAGTCTTGTGCATTAGCGGTTATTGCTTCATGCACCCATGGCTTAATGGTAGACTCTAGAAAGCTGTTCAGATATACGAGAATGTCTTCGGGGATAATGGCACCAGTTACAGGGGTTGTAACTGTTGTCACAGCATCAGTGAAGATAGCTGATGTGTGGCCTGCGTTCAATGATCGAGGCATTGTTGGCGTAGCAGGGCTTCCGACCATCATAGTTTGCACTCCGGTCATTGCATTCAGGGTGAGTGCACCTGTATGTGCAGTGAATAGTGTAGGTGTCCTAGAAAAATGTGAAAATGTAGGAATGGTGACACCTAGACTCGATGTGATAGAACGGATGGGGGTAGTGGTCCGGGGCTGTTGACCACTAAGTCTCTCAGCAGATTCGGAAGGAATCAGTGAGGTCGGTGTAAGTTCCCCTTGAGTTATTGAAACCCCAGTCTGTTGGGAGACTGGAGAGTGGATGGGAGATGGCTGTGCCCGCGCAGTTGAACCGGATGCTGCGACTTCTACCCGGGAACTGACAAGGTCAGCTCCTGCTCCTAGGGGCGTGGTTCGGTCTATAGTGACAAAGGTGTCGCAGTCATCGTATAGTGCCAGCTCCTCCTCCACTGCACTCTTCTTTCTTAGCCTCTTCTTAGGCTGTGATGATGCAGATTTGTCGTTGTTGTGTTTGGAGCGCTGCTCACTGATGACAATGCCCTTAAGTGGTCGGGACATGTGAACAGCCTCTTCATTGTCCGATGAGGAGTTGGAGTCTATCGGAATGGCCCTCTTTCCGGCTCTTTTCCTGTTGCTGATCAGAACTCCCTCCATGTCATCATCATCATCTGCATCATCATCATCGTCATTATTCTCCTTTCCCTTGGCCATGCTATCGGAGGCCTCACCACCAGCCTTATTAGAAGGGGCCTGGCTTGATGGTTCATTGGCAGTGTCCTCAGCATTAGGGTGGCCCTCAGCAGTCTGGGTCCTCTCGGAAGAGTTAGCAGACTGATCATCATTAGGCCGGGTTGCCACTGGTTTCTGTGGCGGGGCTCTCTTCTTCTTACCCTCACTTTCTCTCGGCTTGGTTCCCGGGGAAGGTCCAGCTGGGTTTTGCTGAACCATAGGGACCGTTCTCTTCAGCGACTCTTTGTAGTCAATGACTGCCTTGTCCCTCGGGTTTGCTAGATCAAGCAGGGAGTCCGGGATAGGCAGTGCTTCAGCCTTATTGCTGTCCCTCTGGAAGTATTTGAGCTCGGGAGCGGTGAAGTGATCATCTCCCTTACGCTTTGGAATAGTAGGGGTGGCCTCCATCATGTTATGGATCATCAATGCCAACCACCTAGCGTAAGGGATTGTACTACCCTTGTTGTTCTCCTTTATCTTCACCTGGTCCATCAGCTCTGTCCAGAAGAGCTGGGCCATGTCGTACTGTTTGTCATATGCGATCCCATGGAAGATTTGTAGAATCTGCTTGTTGCACTTGTCATGTCCGGCGTGCTTAGGAGATAGACACTTGTTCACCAGGCCGAACAGACTCTTCCATGGGTGGGGCAGATTTGAGATGGTAAAGTTTGACAGCAGGGGCAGTGGGCTGTCGTATCCAAGATCTTTCATCCCCTTGATCAACTCTTCGTTTGAGGGGAGTGATGCATAGTTTTGGTGCACAGGGAGTCTCAGAGTTTCCCTGATTGTAGAAGGTGTTAGCACCACTCTCTTGTCAGCTAGTTTGGTCATGATCTTTGACCGATCCTTCTTACTCTCAGTTCGCATGCAGCCCCAGAATTGCTGCAGGTATACCTCTGGTACCGGTTTGGCCTCATTGAATGCAAACCAGAGGTAGTGCTTCTGTAGAATGGAGAGAATGACCGGGTCCTGACATTTGAAGAGCTTAAGGTCCAATTGAAAGTTGTTGTCATAAAGCGGGACCCAGTTCTCTTTTGGGTACAGTTCATCGCTTGATTGTGCATTCCTGTCTGTTCCTGACATGATTGACTGAAAGAAATGGGTCAGCACAATTGTACATATGAAAAGTTTTATTTTTGTTCTGTTCTTGCAATTTTTCAGATTGGATGTGTACAGGTTGGACCTCGAGAAAATTTCTGAGTGTAAACCACGAGAACCAACTTTTCGAGTTTTGAATATCGAGAAGTAGGTTCTCGAGGTTTAAATACCGAGAAGCTCTTCTCGATATTCAAACACCGAGAACTTGGTTCTCGATGTGAGAATATCGAAAAGTCCTTCTCGAGATCTAAACTTCGAGAATTTCCTTTCTCGATGTTTAACTATCGAGAACTGCTTCTCGGTATTTCAAACTTCGAGAAGTAGGTTCTCGGTATTTAAACATCGAAAAGACTTTTTCGAGGTTCAAATATCGAGAACTGACTTACGAGATTTGAAATATCGAGAAACAATTCCTCGAATTCAAATATCGAGAAAGATGTATTCTCGAGTTCGTACTCAGAAGAAATGTCGAGAACCACCTGCAATAACACATAATCACAAAGATAATATCCAAAACTTTTCGATTTTCAAGTTTTCAGTTTTCGAGAAATATATAGTTCTCGATATTCCATTTCGAGAAATTTCTTTCAAGTTTTGGATTCGAGAACTTGCCATTGTGTGCGAAAACCATTTTATTGATGTTGTTGATGATAACAAAACCTAGAATTCTACCTTAAGATTGATTCGAGAAGATTGCGAGAAAATGTTTTAAACTTCGAGAACTCTGGACTTCGAGAAAGCTTATGCGAGAAAGTGAATAGTGCGAAAAGTAGTTCTCGAAGTCAGCTTTTATATGCGAGAAATTGGGTTTGGGCCTTGCGAGAAAATGTCTGGGCCCATATGTTGAGTTGGGTCCAGTTCAGTTTTAAACAGTTGGGCCCCTATTTTATTATTGGTACAGAGCTCCCCCTCGAATTGTGCATAAAAAAATGAAAAACACACACACCCACTCTTTTTCTGACTTTTCTGATTTTCTCACTCACACACACACACTGTGACACCGCACCCGAACGTCCTTGAAAAATTCAAGTTAAAAATTCAAAGTTTACGTATTGAATTTCTGATTCCCAAACAATTGTAAATGATTGATGATTTTACGTAATTAATGATCGATTATTTTACCGTCCGAACTCGCATATTAGTGTCGGGCTTGTGAATACTCATTTGGGCCTTATTAATAAATAAAATAGCCTAACATTATCTAAGTAGCGATTCATAACGTTTCAGGACAAGTCGAAGAAGGGCGGGCAGCCCAGATATTATTTTGGGCTCAACCCGCTAAAATAGCAAGTATTCGAGGACGGCGTCGTAGGCCCACTCGGGGGCGACCCACACGGCTAGTAGCCCGATAATATGGATAACAAATGTCAAAATAAGTGATAGGATGATTTGAGATGAATACAAATGCCTATGATCCCATCTTTGACATTATTGAGCTAAATAATGGGAATATGATTGTCCTTCTATAATGTCCATCATGTAAATAATTGGGATGAGCCTACACATATTGGAGATCAATAATGTGATTTAGGAAGTTGACTTGTTCTAAATAAATTAGGATGAGTACAAAAAGACATCTTTTGACAAAGATAAAACAATAGGACCCATTTTCCCCATTTTTGGAAGTATTGGTAGATAGTTTGGATCCCAAAATGATTGGGATCAATTGGGAACCACTCCACATGATATTAGTACCTGCAAGACAAATAAAAATGGGTTAGGAAACTTACCTTGGCCGACCACCATGGAGAGGAGCTGCACAAGACTTGATAGGAATCAAATGTTGGGCCACCATCCCTATTTTCGCACAAAATTGTGTGCTGGTTGTCTCCACTCATTATGGGAGTTGTACTCGACCAAATGAGGTGTATAAGGTGTCCTTGGATAGCCTTTGAAGTCTAGTATCTCAATTGAGTGGTCTTTGTTCGAGGAGAGAGAGCTTATCTTACCAGAATCGAGCTGAAGTGAGTGGTGGTCTGTAAACTCGAGCTGTGAGAGTGCTGAGACTGTTTGGTTGATATCTCGAGTTATACCAATCCAAATAAGGCGTGCGAGATACCCACAGAAAGCTCTCAAGACGAGGAATCCGTGAAGGTCTGGTTTGCATCAATCGGAGTAGTGGAAGGCTTTCAAATCGTCCGAGCAAAACACAACCTCGCGGAATACGTTTTTGTATTCAAAGTAAGTTTGAATCCAAAACCTTCCTCTCTATTGTCTAAACCATATAAATGATTGAAGAACTATTATACACTGATTGAAGTGTATAAAATGTTATTATAAAGTGACTTTAATTGTTGGAAAAGTTAGATACTAATCTAGACAAAACCTTGAAAGGTTAGGGAACGATTTCGTCGGGAAACACCCGTTCTAGGGACTGTTTTTGTGCCTTCGGTTAGGAGTTGAACTAGCACTTTGAAGAGGCTGTTTAACACTCAATTCCAAGCAAGGAATCAGTCCTCAATCTTTCTTGGCCGAGGCTTTGGTCATTGGATCGAGAAGGAAAGTTTTAAAGCTCATTTGAGGTGAGGATGGCTGACTATATTGCTTATAATCTTTGGGTTAATTTCATAAGATTACCTAAAGTAATTAAATGTGATTTTCATGGATTATTAATGATTAATAATGCCTAAATGAAAATATCATTGTTTGTGAATAGAAGATGCATAACATACAAATTTATGAGAAATTGTGTATGATGATGCATAATAAATGTGAAGGTATAATGATTGTATAAACCATGAATTTTTGTGATAAAATATACTTTTACTTCATGTATAGAAATCATGAATGGATAAAAGTGATATTTTTGATATTGAGATTAAATCGTATACGGATTAGAAAATCCATAGGAATGAGCCTTATAACTATGAGTTAAGGAGCTTGGGCTGTTTAAAGGTTTATGGATTAGTATTTAATTTACTAATCGGGAATGTTGTATAAAAAGTGATAGAACAATCCTAAGGACTTGGATTGTGAAGGATGCACCTTAAGTAGTCTTATGAGATGCCTTAAGGTAGGAAGGGGTAACCACTAAGTTACATTAGGAGTAGGCCTCATTGGCTACTCAAGATTGAGGAACTCTAGGCATGGAATTTGCTAGTGAGTTAGTATCGTGACTAGAGGAAGCCTCTAGCACGATGAAGAATGACTGGAGGAAGCCTCCAGCATTCGTGTAGGACGAACTAGTATCGTGACTAGAGGAAGCCTCTAGCACGATGAAGAATGACTGGAGGAAGCCTCCAGCATTCGTGTAGGATGACTAGAGGAAGCCTCTAGCATAATGTAATGTGACTGGAGGAAGCCTCCAGCACAAAGTATGTAAGGTGATTAGAGGAAGCCTCTAACACCGAATTTAGTGACTAGAGTAAGCCTCTAGCACGGCAGAACATGACTAGAGGAAGCCTCTAGCATGGTGAATTTAATATAGATGGGCGTGGCTTGAAGTCACGGGGAAAGGGTTGAACGTTTTCAAGGTAAAACATGGGTCTTCGGGCCAACTACTTGACTTTATATATAAAGTAAGTATATTTTCAAAGAGGGTAACCACGGGTTATGACCTATATTATATTATCACCCTATGTGAGGGTCTTGGAAATTGAAACTTTGATTATACTTAGTATAGTTGTCATTGTACTTGTCAAACGCTTCCAAGTACTGACCTCCCCTTCACGGGGGAGGCCACCTCACAGTTTCAGGTAGGACTTGAAGGTTGCTACCGCCGCCGTTGCTTTGGGGAGGTTCAAGGAAGGAGACGTGGTTCGTGCTTCTTCCGTTCCTGTTTTGAAAACATTTTTAAATAATGCTCATGGATACTATTTGAATATTTATTTGGGCTTGTATGCCCGTGTTTGCCACGTGTGGCTTGGATATTTGAATTAATGTTTCCGCTGCTTGATTAAATATTTTGCATTATGATTGTTTATGGATGTACTATTGTGAATGATATTCATGACGCCTAGTATAGTATGGATGAGTTGGACTGCGGTTGACTATTCGTACTGTACGGCGGGTTGTTGACGTGTCCGGTGGGTCCGGGGCGTGACAATTTAATTGGTATCAAAGCCCTAGTCCGTAAACTTCATAATGAAGCTTCAAAATCTCTTTTTGAAAAACGAATTTGAAAACCATGAGCATAAAAGTTTTGTACTTATAGAACTTTTGGTACTTGAGTTGCAAAGTCTCTAATTGTTAAGATGGTACCCTTAACAATTGGTATGGCGGTGATTTGAGCCAAAAGATATCTTTAAGTACCTATCCGTCACTTGACATTTGATACGAGCCTAATGGCTCATTCTAAACTTCTTTCAGAAATGGAACGCACCGGTAGAGTGACTCGACGGAACCCGACTGGCCAGGTGCTGGGAGGATCCCAACGTGGCAGTCAGGGGGGATCAAGAGAGTCCGGGGGACAGGGCCGAGCAGGCCACTCGCTGACCGTGAGTGACGGTCACGTGGAAACAATAGATGAGCACTATGAGTCCGAGGAGGATTCAACTTACCAACCGGGAACTGAGCCGGTTGACACCCCATATGATGGGGAACACGATGATGCTAGTGATGAGAGTGATGATAATGACGCTCTTGAACGGATTGAGGAATTGCTCCGGCAATACCAACAAGATCGCCAAAGGCGCCGGGCAAGGCGTGCTTTGGAAGGGGCTTCGAGGAGAGGAAGCCGCGCGACTCCTAGGGAGAGCATTGAACTCCGAGGGGGTCGAGGTGCCGAGGTTCCTATCATAAGGATCTCAAAGTACCTAAAGGAGGCAAGAGACTTGGGATGTAAACCGTTTGATGGAACGGGAGACATCTCCGTGGCGGCCGAGTGGATCAAGAGATTCAATGAAGCGGCCCTTGATATGCAGCTGCCACCCCATATGAAGATGAGAGTGGCAACAAGATTGCTAGAAGGAATGGCGTCCACGTGGTGGGACGGTGTCAAAGGGAAGTACGGTGAGGCGGTCACTTGGGAGAACTTCAGGCAAGAATTCTTTAGCCAATACTACTCCGACTTCGAGGTGAACTTGAAGAGGAGGGAGTACACGAATTTGACCCAAGGAGGGGAATGCACGGTGAAGGAACTTGAACACAAGTTCAGAAAGCTTGCTGAGTTCATACCGGAGTACATTTGTGATGAAAATCGGATGGTGAACCATTTCTGGGATGCCTTGGACCTTGACATACGTGAGAGGGCAACACAATTGCCTAATATGACATTTAGTCAAGTGGTGGAACAAGGTTTAAAGGGAGAGAAGGAGTGGGAAGAGAGGAAGCGAAGAAATGCCGAGGAGGCAAAGAAAAGAAAATGGGAGAACCATGGCCCCCAAGGTTCAAACAAGAAGATGAATCACGGGGGAGGAGGATCCTTCAGGGCACCCGCACCACCATCAAGGGGGAATCCCAACATGGGTGGGCAAAACTCGGGGTTACAAGCCTCGACGAAGCCTAAGTGCAGGAATTGCAAGAGAAATCACGAGGGCAAATGTCGTGATCCCCCACGGTGCTACCAATGCGGAGATACGGGGCACATAAGGCCTAATTGCCCTCAACTTGGTGGGAACCGGTCATCAGGACCAAACGTGACAACCACGGTGAGTAGAAACCGGGGTGGGGCACCCAATGCAAGCACGAACCACGGCGGGGCAAGTACAAGCAACGCACCCTCCGTGAACCAAGGAAGGACTCAAGCGAGAGTGTACGCAATGACCGAGGTCGATGCTCGGGCTAATCCCGACTCCGTCGCAGGTAATACACTTATTCTGGTCATTTCTAGGCTTACTTTGATCATATACGTCGTTGGGATTGAGTACGGGCCACCCCGGGGTCAAACCGGGTGAGTTAGGCCTAATCGGGCTGGAAACAGCCACTGCTGGCCAGGCACGCCCGCAGGCACGCCGTGCCTGGCATCGTGCCTGGAAGGCAGTGGCACCCGAAGAAGAGAAAAAAAAAAAAAAAAAAAAAAAAAAAAAAAAAAAAAAATTTGGGCCAGGCACGGCCGCAGGCACGCCGTGCCTGGCGTCGTGCCTGGAAGGCAGTATCGCCCGAAGAAAATTTGGCCAGGCACGGCCGCAGGCACGCCGTGCCTGGCACCGTGCCTGGGAGGCAGTGGTGAGCAGGAAGAATCCGAGGCACGCACGGCCGTGCGTGCCACCCAGGCACGCCGTGCGTAGGCCCCAGAACCCGAAAATCGAATTTTTTCCGCTCCGTTCTTCTACGTTTGGACCCCCGATTGATTCCAAACATTAGTATGAACCTAATAACCTCCTAATGATGTGTAAAAACATTAGAAAAGGTATCCCACATGGTGTATAAATGTAGGAACATTAAAGATCAATGGTAGGTATGCGAGGATCCTCATCGATACCGGGGCACAACGCTCATTTATGAGTGAGGCGTTCGCCGAGGGCCTTGACGTGCCATTGACGCCTGTGATGCAAACGTTGCTAGTCTCCACACCGTTAGGAGACGATGTGGAGAGAAATCATTACTATCCATCATGTGAGGTGGAAGTGACGGGTCAACCCTTGACGTGTGATTTCGTACCGCTGAGTATGATGGAGTTCGATGCGATCCTAGGGATGGATTGGCTAGAAAAGCATCATGCTAGGGTAGATTGCTACACAAAGGTCTTGGGACTCGAAGGCAATGATGGGGATACCCTACGCTTCGAGGAGGACCGAGGCAAATCAAACAGCTGTATCATATCCGCTGTGAGAGCGAGAAATATGATGAGAAAGGAATGCCACGCTTATCTAGCATACGTGGTTGACAAGACCAAGGAGGAAACGAACATCGACGACGTGAGGGTGGTTTGTAAGTACCCGAATGTCTTCCCAAAGGACCTGTCGGGGCTTCCACCTGATAGGAAGATTGAATTTGTGATCGAGGTCGAGCCCGGCACCAAACCAATCTCCATACCGCCATACCGTATGGCGCCCGCTGAACTTAATGAGTTGAAAACCCAAATTGCAAGAGCTTTTGGATAATGGCTTCATTAGACCAAGCCACTCCCCGTGGGGCGCACCGATTCTTTTTGTGAAAAAGAAAGATGGGACACTTCGAATGTGCATTGACTATCGTTAACTGAACAAGGTCACAATCAAGAATAGGTATCCTTTGCCTAGGATTGATGACTTGTTTGATCAACTACGAGGAGCAACTGTGTTTTCAAAGATTGACTTGAGGTCAGGGTACCATCAATCGAAGGTTAAGGAAGATGACTTACCAAAGAGTGCTTTCCGCACAAGGTATGGGCATTTTGAGTTCCTTGTTATGTCGTTTGGGTTAACAAACGCCCCAGCAGCATTCATGGACTTGATGAACCGAGTATTCCATAAATACTTGGATCGATTCGTGATTGTGTTCATAGATGACATTTTGATTTACCCAAAGAGTAAGGAAGAACATGAAGAGCACTTGATACTCGTTCTTGAGACACTACGGGAGAAGCAACTTTATGCTAAATTTTCTAAATGTGAATTTTGGCTAAAGGAAATTGGCTTTCTCGGGCATGTGGTTTCGGGATCGGGAATTGCTGTTGATAATAAGAAGATAGGGGCCATTACCGAATGGGAGAGACCAAAGAACGTCAAGGAAATTCGTGGTTTCCTTGGGTTAGCAGGCTACTACAGGAAGTTCGTGTAGAAATTCTCCGTTTTGGCATCACCATTGACAAAGCTCACTCGTAAAGGAGCTAAGTTTGTATGGGATGACAAATGTGAGAAAGGGTTCATTGAACTAAAGAAGAGATTGATCGAGGCACCGGTACTTGCATTACCCAAACAGGGTGTGGGGTACGATGTCTATAGCGATGCGAGCATCCAAGGGTTTGGGTGTGTGTTGATGCAGGAGGGGAGAGTAATTGCCTATGCTTCACGACAGTTGAAGAAGCATGAGGTAAATTACCCTACCCATGACCTGGAGCTGGGAGCAGTAGTGTTTGCACTAAAAATTTGGAGACATTATCTCTACGGAGAGACATGTCACATATATAATGATCATAAGAGCTTGCTTAGTGAATTAGCATCGTGACTAGAGGAAGCCTCGAGCACGATGAAGAATGACTGGAGGAAGCCTCCAGCATTCGTGTAGGACGACTAGAGGAAGCCTCTAGCGTAACGTAATGTGACTGGAGGAAGCCTCCAGCACAACGTATGTAAGGTGATTAGAGGAAGCCTCTAACACCAATAGAAAAGTGAAGAAACTGAGGAGCAAAGAGGTCCCAATGGTTAAAGTACTTTGGAAGAGCGATCAGGTCGAAGGGAAGACAGGGGGAAGCAGAGGCTTTGATGAGGAAGCAGCATGCTTTCCTATTCAAGTAGAGCTGTGAATTTCGGGGACGAAATTCCTGTTAAGGGGGGGTGAACTTGTGACACCGCACCCGAACGTCCTTGAAAAATTCAAGTTAAAAATTCAAAGTTTACGTATTGAATTTCTGATTCCCAAACAATTGTAAATGATTGATGATTTTACGTAATTAATGATCGATTATTTTACCGTCCGAACTCGCATATTAGTGTCGGGCTTGTGAATACTCATTTGGGCCTTATTAATAAATAAAATAGCCTAACATTATCTAAGTAGCGATTCATAACGTTTCAGGACAAGTCGAAGAAGGGCGGGCAGCCCAGATATTATTTTGGGCTCAACCCGCTAAAATAGCAAGTATTCGAGGACGGCGTCGTAGGCCCACTCGGGGGCGACCCACACGGCTAGTAGCCCGATAATATGGATAACAAATGTCAAAATAAGTGATAGGATGATTTGAGATGAATACAAATGCCTATGATCCCATCTTTGACATTATTGAGCTAAATAATGGGAATATGATTGTCCTTCTATAATGTCCATCATGTAAATAATTGGGATGAGCCTACACATATTGGAGATCAATAATGTGATTTAGGAAGTTGACTTGTTCTAAATAAATTAGGATGAGTACAAAAAGACATCTTTTGACAAAGATAAAACAATAGGACCCATTTTCCCCATTTTTGGAAGTATTGGTAGATAGTTTGGATCCCAAAATGATTGGGATCAATTGGGAACCACTCCACATGATATTAGTACCTGCAAGACAAATAAAAATGGGTTAGGAAACTTACCTTGGCCGACCACCATGGAGAGGAGCTGCACAAGACTTGATAGGAATCAAATGTTGGGCCACCATCCCTATTTTCGCACAAAATTGTGTGCTGGTTGTCTCCACTCATTATGGGAGTTGTACTCGACCAAATGAGGTGTATAAGGTGTCCTTGGATAGCCTTTGAAGTCTAGTATCTCAATTGAGTGGTCTTTGTTCGAGGAGAGAGAGCTTATCTTACCAGAATCGAGCTGAAGTGAGTGGTGGTCTGTAAACTCGAGCTGTGAGAGTGCTGAGACTGTTTGGTTGATATCTCGAGTTATACCAATCCAAATAAGGCGTGCGAGATACCCACAGAAAGCTCTCAAGACGAGGAATCCGTGAAGGTCTGGTTTGCATCAATCGGAGTAGTGGAAGGCTTTCAAATCGTCCGAGCAAAACACAACCTCGCGGAATACGTTTTTGTATTCAAAGTAAGTTTGAATCCAAAACCTTCCTCTCTATTGTCTAAACCATATAAATGATTGAAGAACTATTATACACTGATTGAAGTGTATAAAATGTTATTATAAAGTGACTTTAATTGTTGGAAAAGTTAGATACTAATCTAGACAAAACCTTGAAAGGTTAGGGAACGATTTCGTCGGGAAACACCCGTTCTAGGGACTGTTTTTGTGCCTTCGGTTAGGAGTTGAACTAGCACTTTGAAGAGGCTGTTTAACACTCAATTCCAAGCAAGGAATCAGTCCTCAATCTTTCTTGGCCGAGGCTTTGGTCATTGGATCGAGAAGGAAAGTTTTAAAGCTCATTTGAGGTGAGGATGGCTGACTATATTGCTTATAATCTTTGGGTTAATTTCATAAGATTACCTAAAGTAATTAAATGTGATTTT